CGCAACATGAGCTCAGAGGCTAACGAGGTAACGAAGTCGTGTCATTAATTTAAATCAGATTTAAGCAATGGCTGAACCCTTAAAGTCCTGAAAAAAAAACCTGAAACCATCTGTTAACATGAAAGCAGGGTGACATGCTCTAACAGGGAAACACAGAACAAAGATCTATTGTCCTCGCTTTTAACAAAAGTATGCAAATATGGTGCAGTGGACTGAATAAAAAGAAAAGTAGAAGTATTCCTGTTGTGAGGGTAGGTGTTTCTGTACATTTAGTGCAGTGTTTCCAGTATATTTAACTGACCTTTGACCTGCAACAGCATTAGTTTCTTGTAAGGCACAGCGCTGTTGTTGGACATCTGCTCTGAGATGTTGACGCTGCGCAGGTTGACACTGCTGAAGTTCTCCTTGCTGGCCAGACCGGCGAGAGCCACTTCAGAGAAACCAGAGTTCTTATTCACTGCAGGAAAAAGAGCAGAGAACTGACATTAGACTGCAAGAAATACACACAACAATTTTAATTTATTACTCTTCATTCTTATACAGCAAAGACACATCCACCCAGTACACACAGTCATGACCACAAAGCACTACTGTGTCTCACTACAGCAGGTACTAAAGGTTTAATGCTATGAGAGGAGTTGAGGAGGAAGTTACACATCAAAGTGTGTGGGTTCTTGTCTTCACAGTCAAAACAAGCTGCTGAGCACGTGCAGCTCGTAAACAAAGCTGACTTTTCCGAGGACTGATCAGCACAATAACAGGAAAGGGACACGCAAGCAGGTCTGCTCACATCCCAAAGCGGTGTGCGTGGGTTCATTCAAAGCAAGTAGAGAAGCGCATGATACAAGTGAGCCTTTCTATATGAGAGTGAAGCTATATTGCCCTCTTTTTCCATAGAAACACTGACTCAATTGGTCAATACATTTCTCTGTCAATATAAGGGGCAAGATATTTGCATTTGCTGATAACATGAATGCACACATCACAGGGAAGAAGAGAGAAGAGGCCTTTTTGTGCATCTGTCAATTTCACCAGTCTCCCACAACACGGCACAGTTTGACATGCAGGGTAAAGTAGGAATGGCAGTGCCCAATGCGCCTGGCAACAACCGCAGGAATGATAAATTACAACAACCTGTTGGTGCTTGGACAAATAGAGCATTGTCAAGGAGACTGTATATTATTTTAAACAGCTGCTCCTCATCCATCCTCACTCACTCTTCTCAGCCTTCATCCTTTTGCTCTCCAGCAGGCCGATGTTGAGCCTCTGCTCCGTGTACTCGTGTCTGATGTCCTCCCTGGCAGCCAGCATCTTTAGAGGGTTCCTGGATGACTGGACGTTACGTGCTGGGCGCACCGCCCGCTTGTGCTGTACCATCTCTGAGGTCAGCCTGCAGAGAGGTCAGCGGTAAAGGGTCACAGTTAACAGGAACAGTTTCACCCTCATTGATGAGTCAAAACTCCATCAGGCATCGAGAGCTTACTTTGGCACCTGCGGACCGAAGATGGCATCAAAGTCGTCATCTATCTCCAGCTTGTTGGTGACGGAAGGAAGTTCCTCCACTTGGCGGTAGAACTTGGAAAAAGTTTCGTCTTCGAGGGTCATCACTTCCTTTACCTTCTTTTCCGTCACTGTGATGGTTGCTTCTGGCAGTCCAGACACTGAGGACAGACAGAAAGAGGCGACTCTTTAAAACCCACAAAAATACAGATTCTTTTTGACAGAAAATGGAAATTATTCACTTTCTTTGTGACTTTTAACTGGTGTTTTAACAAGCCCCACTAATAAAAACCAACCATTCTGTGTGAGGGCTTTATCTAACACATAATTACACAAATTGACTTTTTTTTTTTTTACTTTCTTTTTATTGTTTTTCTTTAAACACTATACACTATACAACAAAACAAAAACTACAAAACAACAACAACAAAAAGATAGATACAACAAGTAGGATAACAAAAAACAAACGAAAAAAAACCCCATGTTGGATCTCTTTGTTTCTACAGTTTGATCATTTCTCATTATCAATGTGTTGGTCTTTATCCTGTTGAGTTTATGTACTCAGTCCATTTCTCCCACTTTTTATGGTATTGATCTTCCTGAGTCCTTATTCTGTAGGTCAATTGTTCCATGGTTTGTATTTCATCTATAATTTTGATCCATTCGTCCTGTGATGGTGGGTCTATCTTGTTCCATTTTCTTGTAATTGCCTTTTTACAGGCAGCAAGCATAATTTTCAATATGTATCTATCTTCTTTCATCACATTTCCCGTAATGACACCAAAATATAATAATGTACAAGTCTTAGATACAGCATAACCCAGAATTTTACCTATAACTAAATGAATATCTTCCCAAAATTTTGTAATCTTGGGACAGAACCACAAATTGACTTTACTGTCTGCAGTACATGGTTTAGCTGTGGCCTACTGTCTTCTATTACAGGAACCACACTGACCTGCATGGGATGAATATGGATCAGATTGTCACACAAGCCCACTCAGAAACGTCTGAGTGAAAAGATCAAAGTTTACCTGGTTCTTCAATATTTAAAAAGAACAGTTTTGCAGCAGCTCCTGAAAGGAAAACCAACTGCTCCATGTCAAATGTTGCTTTTGTGGAAAATAGTTTGATATCACTTGTATCGTCTAATGATATCAAGAAAAGATAGTTTCTGCAGCTTTCAGCTTCCATACCTACATGTAAGCATGCACCATTAATACTCATGTGTCTGTGAAGGACTCACTTTTATTGTTGAGCTTGCCCAGGAATGACTCCAATTTATCCAGCTTCATGTCTGACTCCAGGTTCAGATCTGGCATGGCCTTGATTTCTGCACACACACACACACACACACACGACAGAGCCAACAAAGTGTTTGATTTTAGGTGAAAAGGAAAGCGACATGAGGTTCTGCTCGTACATGTCACGACTAATGTTGCTTCTGTTGACTGAATAATGAATGTAATGGAAAGTTACAGTCACAATGCCATGAATCTAAACATGGTCACAAGCACTTCCAAGGCCTCCGAATGTGAACTCTTCAGCACCTCAGACTCATGCACATTAATCCAGGTGACTGCCTTCCCCTGGGCTACGTTCTATTAGGCTTTACAAGCCAATAGAAGTCTCACAGCAACACGAGTCACATTAGTGTTGGTGATATTGGTGGTTTGGATGAGCGGCGTGATAAATGGCAAAAAAGACAAAAAGAGTAAACCTTCAGTATCAGACATCTGTTCCATGTCTTTGGAAAGAAAAGCAAAAACAGAATAACACAAACGTTTTAGCACCTACACAACACGAGCTCAGAGGCTAACGAGGTAACGAAGTCGTGTCATTAATTTAAATCAGATTTAAGCAATGGCTGAACCCTTAAAGTCCTGAAAAAAAAACCTGAAACCATCTGTTAACATGAAAGCAGGGTGACATGCTCTAACAGGGAAACACAGAAATGAAGTGCAACTGACCATCCTGTGGTTTAGAGATGGCAATGTTGCCATTCTTGGGTTTGGACGGCACAGGATTCTGAAGAGCAGCAGGGGGGGCCAGACCTGCAGCAACAGAGACGTACATATACATGTGATGACTCAGGTACAATCTGAAGGGCAAGGGCTGTTTATGATTTTAGTAAAAACACAAATTCATTTGTTTTCATAGTTTCACAGGCAGATGCAGTACTATCAGTTTGTAGGTTCACACAGAAAGCAACAGGTGTGGGTGTGTTTGCATGTGTTGTATGTTACAGAGCTCTGGAATAATAAGCAGGAATAGTTAATGAAACTGTCCATCGTTTACCACGTCAGGGTAAGTGCACAGCTAATGCGGAGAGCTCCAACCATTAAATAATTTTCTGCTTCAGCGAAGGCCTTGGAGCAGCTACTCTGGGCTGATGGAGGGAAAACGAGAGTCATTCTCCTCAAGCTGCTAGCTGTGGAGCAAGCGTTTTTTAAGCAGAGGCTGAGGCTGACGTTAAGTCTTTATTGCTCTGCAGCAGGCAGTGCATAACGAGCACAGGTATGCCAGTGGAAAGTGTGTGTTTTTGCCCTCTGACCTTTCTTCACCATGCGTGCAGCCACAGTGAACTGGGTCGAGTCATTGGCAGCTCCGTGGCCTTTGGACTTCCAGGATTCCTCTCGGGCCACGATCAGCTGCTTCCTCTCCTCAATGGACATGTGAGCCTCGATCCTCTGAGACTCCATCTCTGCCTCTGCTAACCTCTGAGAAAAGAGGGAGGACAAGTCAGTGTCAAGTGTAAGAGAAAACTTCTCAGGTGCCTTACTGCATCATTTGTAATGCGCAATGCATTCCAGGGAGCATTTTGTGAATGGGTAACCCATCACATCCCTGCATTTATTTAAATGTCCTTCATAAAAGTGCTTGCTATACAAACTCAAAGCCCACAGGACAAATATGGCCCTTTACAAATTGTCATGTGGCCACAAAATCTTTTAAGACTGTTTATAAATTTTACCCTGCTTAGCTGAAGCTGCACAACGATCATTAAGCACCACATTTGGAGTCTCACGCCAAATTAAACAGCGTTTCCTGTACTTTCATGGAAGTAAACAGACTGTTGATAACAAGGTCAGAAAGTCTCCAGAGACGTGGGAGACCGAACGCTTCTCGGCATCGACCCACGGATCCATTTGCTGAGATATAAACTCAGTTTTATCAAATAACAGCCTCTAATTCTATTCTGCACGCAAGCAGAGGTTTGGAGTCGTAGAGGCGCTGCAGAAAGCTGCTGAACTGTAACGCAAAATACGTGTTGGATCCAAATGGCAATGAAGAAGGACGAAAACTGCAGAGAAGCTGCAGTTTATTCACAGCTTTCAGGCATTTATGCACAGAAACTTGATGCCTGAAGATTCGGCTGTACAGTGCAGCTAACTTGCTCTGTTAAAGCTGTAATGTAAAGACAATGATTTTATAAACACCACCAGTCTCCTAGTAGCTGTAATATTCAGGCTTTTGATTAACGCTGTGGTCAGCAGGGCTGTGAGGTGAGGAAGCGAGGTTGTTGGGCTAAATGGCACGTCCATTAAGATGCCTGGATGTGGGTTTTATCTGGACAAAAATCAACAACATTTTGGGGAAATGCCAGATGTGATTCTCATTTTTGAGTGTGGCCTTTGAGTTTGACACACCTGTTCAAACTGCACTCATCACTAAAATCTACCCATCAAAATGGACACAGTACTGCATCTTTTGCAGTCTGTTGTTTATGAATGTGGGAAACATTTAAACACACAAAGAGCCCAAATACACAAAGAGTACACACAGAGAAAATGAGGAAATCTTTGCCTCACACAGCGCTAAAGTCATTCACCTCTATTTGAACAACATTAAGAAATGACACATGACTGTGTGGGTGTTTAAAGTAACTCGTGACAGTAAAATGGAAGAAGTCTACTGAATATAGCAGACTGCAACTCATGGTGCTGGAGCTTTGATTGCTGTGTTTGTGTGGAGGCTGCCAGCGGTGAGGGGGAGGGGGAGGAATTGGCCAGAAAGCTGTGTATAGCTTCGAAAGGGTCACCTTTCGTCTCCAGGGGTGTTTTTCATCCACCTGCACGGGTCTGCGAGATCTGATGGCCTTCACAACCAGAGGGATGGATGAGGAAGGTAAGAAAAGATGAGGATTATGGATGAAAAGACGGAAGAAAAGATCCAAGCTCTGCACAAGCACGAGAAGCTGCAGGGCTGCCATGCTGGCCCTGTGCTGATAACGATGTGCGACTTATATCAATATCAGTGTGCTAGTGCCTGAATGGTTTTGCCTCCCATACACCACAGTGGATTTTAAATCAAAAAAAGTGCAGACTTCAGCTCTAATTCACCAATTACCAGTTCATTAATTAACACATTAATAATGCATATTAACCACAGTGATGTGGCTAAGGAGCAAAGTTGTAGAGTAGGGTTTGTAATGTGTGAGTTTAGTGAAGCAGGTGTGTGAGCAAGTACAACAAGCAATGCAAGGCAGCAAGACCTGTTGACACGTCCTACCTGGCTGGCTGATTCGGTTGCATTGGAAGGAGGCTCAGGAGGAGTAGAGAAAGTAGCAGCAAACACTGGCTCCTATGGAAGCCACAGAAATAGGAAATGTACACATACACATGAAAGGGATGATCAGGAGTACAGCAGCTGCAGGGGTGTCGCTGGGATTTTAGAAACACTGGCATCATGCGAAACAATGTATCAGTTTTCTAGTTACATGTAGTGTGAGACTCTTTGCAAAAACAACTGTACAATGAACTCTGCGGCTCTGGAGATTTTTCAACGGCTTTCAGGAAATAACAAGTTGTGTCACAGACGAGGCATTGGGATGATCTCAGTTTGGGGTTAGAGGCTCCAAACTTACAACAGAAAGTCTTCATTCCAGAGTGTGGTGACCAACACGGGAGGGGCCGATGAGGAGCTTGACTTGCATTAGTAAGTAAAGGTCAGGGTATTCTCGCCTGTGTCATATTCAGGGGAGTGTAACAATAAAAAAAAAAGAGATAATCTAATTTAAAGTGCACTTCAGTTGCTTTGCAGAAACCTTGTTTTGCTGTAACATTACAACAAAATGCAACAGCAGTTATTTAGACTCAAACCTGTCAGGTATGTTATCCACCACTACCATTCATTCAGTCTGGTTCAAGTGTTGCGGGTGAGCATTGTGTATAAGACAGTCTGATCTCATTTGGTTGAATGGTTCTCATTAATTACCAAAACACTGTTGCCTCAGTGTTTCCCCAAGACGTACAGCTGCCTGCTCTACTCTGTATGCACATGTGCACAATCATGCTCGCTTAGCTGGTTAACTTCACAGTGAGGGTTTAAAAAAGATTCACAATATGGTTCTCATGGACATGTTTACTTTTTCCACTGATTTACCATAAGCTGAATTTAAAGAATTATGTCATGTTTGTGTTTTTACCATTTAAAAAATTTCCACATTAGTGGTTATTGATGGTTTCCTTACTTTAGATCATCTATATTCTTTCTTGTTACTTGTATCCACCAATGAAACAAACACATTGTGCAAACAATACACATTAATAATAAATTAATAAAAAATCCCTGCAGCCACATTAATACGCCAAGCCACAGGCCTGAACCACTGGAACAGAGATGAAACTGGAAGCAGATTGAAGCACGCCAAACTGACTCTTGAGATTTTAGACCAACTTTCAGTGAAATCTTACGCCACAAGAAAGATTTGTCATAAATGTGAGTCGATTAGAGAAGCAGAGGTTGCGTGCCAAAGTCAATATGATAAATGGGAAATTTTAAACTCAATTAAATTAGATTCATAGTGTAAGACAGAACAGGAGATTCTAACACAATTATAAATCTGAAACCTGATGAGCAGTGGTGGGATGAGGAACACAGCATAATTACAACAATCAGAATGATTATTAATACAGTTTGTCTTTAAGACACACCCACACGGAGTTCCACCACCAGTACCACCACAAACAGACACACAAACGTAGCTCTGTGTGTTCCACCAAGGCTAAGAGTTTTCAACAGGAAACAAAGTAAAAGATGGAAAAATGAAAACTAAATGCATTTGACACATACGTGCACACACGTTTGGTTTCTGCACAGGCCTTACCCAAAGCTGGTCGGACACAGCAAACTCGTCAATCATCATCATCGCTTCATCATCCTACAGACGAGCAGCCAAAGAAAAAGGGACAGTTCCCAGCATTCATTTCACACACAGGCCAAAGCACATTACTCCCGCTTCCTGTGAGTCTTTACAGATTCTATACTCCAGGTATGACATCACGTGGGCGAATGGTTAATTTCTAGGTAAATATCAAGTTTGTAGTATGTGTAAAGTAAAAAGAAACAAAGTCCATCAAAAAGCAAAGTTGTCCAAACAGCCTTTATTCTGCTCTACTTGCCGTTTTTCTCTGACTCGGTTCTGTATCTGCTTTATCTGTAGTTTTGCACTTCTTCGATTCAAAACAGGAAACCTGATGAATCATATCTACTCGCTCGGATGAATTGGAGGATGGAAACAAGATGAAAAACATCAACTGCCCTTCCCCTTGACCTGGACTCAGCCATCACTTCAAATTGATTAGGTCTTGAAAGATTTTCCTGATTTAATTAAGACATCATATCTTTAAAAAAAACTAAACAAAAAAACCCCCAGAAAAAGCTTGCACACGATGAATCAAAGCTACGTAGGTAAAGTACTTCCTGACCTTAAATAAACTACTAACCCAAAATGAAAATATGTATGTGTAAAGCTGTCGAGCTGAGCAAACCTTGATAAGCTGCTGGAAACAAAAACAGCTGTGCCACGGCAGCTGAATATGTCTAAACAGAGAGGTGCGTGTCCTGTGCCTGACCTAACCCTTCCTTCAAAAACAGAAACGCAGTCAACATGCAGAGGAAAGAAATCAGGTTTATTTTTTTTATTTTAAAAAAGAAAAAGTAAAGGACATGCAAACAGAGACAAACAGAAGAGTGAAAGTTTACATGTAACATGCAGTTAACTAGAAACAAAGGCCTAGCATGACTAAACACAGAGGCTACATTTTACAGTTCAGTTAGTACAACACTCACATGTAACTGAAAGTTTGAACACTTTTCAACTCTCAGAGAAAAGTTAAAAACTCTACAAAGTGCTCTCAGCTTTTCTCTGGAGGGGAAAACCATCTCAGTATGCGAGTCATTCAGGCAACAAATAGGATTAAAATCCAACTTAATTAAGCTTCTTTAATCTTCATAACAAGTATAAAACATACATGAGGCAAATATTAAAAATTTGGAAGTCAAAGGCTGCAAATACTCATGTTCAATCATGTGTTCCAAGTTTTTATGAGTGACTGGCTACTGTTTCCAAGATGTTTTTTTACATTCTACATTTATATACACACACCCTTCAAATTAGATTTAATCATGACTGATTAATTTTCATGTTTGTTCTATTAATATTTTATCGTCATAATGCAAAATAAAACTCTTAAACAGCAGGATTATTCTATGTCAACTCCCCCCAAAACCTATTTAGAGACTTGAGATATCCATTTCAAGTACCAGGTATACTATCACAAATACAGTTATGTATAGTTTAGTACATGGCTACATGTAGTAATTATTAATACATTCATTTGTGCGGGGCTAAATGAATCAGAATTAAGTGAATAGCTTAGGAGGAGTGGCCCTATGAATATCATAGCCTGCGTGCTTTCACTCTTGCTACTCCAGAAACGATTCATCACAACGCGAAACTGCATTTGTGATTGTCAGCCTTGGGATTATATTACTATTATATAAATAGGGTTTCACTATCTATTACAAATCAATAAGCTAAAATGTTGGGATAACGTAAAAGTTACCCAAGTATTTGAACTGCGTGCATTTAATTTCACTGAATTTATGCATTTTTGGCCTAAAATCAAATTGGATTTTAAAGGTTTGACGTATGAAAAAATTTGTATCCTAAAAAAAAAAAAGGAAAGGACAGAAAAAAATGTTCATGATTGAATAGTGGCAGCCGCAGGCTTCCATATTTAGGAAATAAAAAACGCATGCCCCACGAAGTATTGTGTGACTGATCCAGACACCACAGTATGTAATCTACTGCCAGGATGGAAGACATGCAGATTATCTCTTGATACAGTCCAAGAACAAAAACATGCAACAGCTGCTTGAGACAGAACAGAGAAAAGAGAAAAAGATCAAAAGACACAGACATAGACAAAAACACGGCCTCTCTGTTTAGAGATATTGAAAATTGTTACCATGTTCCTTGTAGCTCTGTTCTACAGAAGTGATTGTTTAAAGGGTATCAGTCTTTGATCAGATTTTTCTTTCTGTACACGTCAGCAATAGAAGATCGAGAACACCTACTGAGCAGCATCATCTCAGAGGCTGACACAGGAAATACTTGCTTTCATAATGCGACACAGTCGATCAAATCAAATTAACCAACTCACTGCATCACTTCTGCATTCAGGTCTTGTGGACATAAAGTAGCAGAGTCAGTCATGAATGCATGCTGCTATGACTACGTGCAAAAACATGAGCAATACAAGGGACAACCTCAGGCTTCTCTGTTGAAGTGCTAATTCAGCAGTGAGCGCTCACGTCAGGTGGTTACCTTCTTCTTGAAGCTCTGCTCCACCTCCCAGAGTTGAGCGTTCTGCTCTGCTGCAGCAATCTTCACCACATCCTGCTTCTTATTGATCCTGTTCCTCCAGTCCTCCTCGCCACTCTTCTTTAACAAGGCGACTCTGAGTGGGGAAGGGGAGAGGATCATGAGCTGTAGCATACAAATAAATGGTAAATGGTAAATGGACTGATTCTTATATAGCGCTTTTCTACTCTCCCGGACTACTCAGAGCGCTCATAATAATAAATAATGTTTTTTAGTTGAGTTTTTTGTAGTTAGAGGACACTTTTCAAAACAAAAAACCGCAACAAATCCTTATTTTGGCTATGTTTTCAAATTTAATCCAGAGCATTTATGGAAAACTTGAGCAATTTGTTTAATAGGTGAGTTTTATGAAGATGATTTTGAGACACTTTGTCAAACGTGACATGACAAACTGTATGTTAAGGATGGCACAAAAGCAACTACACGCTGTGGTTTTAATGAAGAGCCACTGAGTTTGCAGCTGCAGGCAGACTCTTTATTTCCACATGTGCCAAAGAAACACAAAACCTTACTTCCCCAGAGCTTTTAGCCCAACCTGTCACAATAGTAAAGCCAACAAAAAGCAGCCATGCTCCTGCACATTTATGAATGAGAAGACAGCAGACATTAAACAGAGGCAGCGAGCATGTCGTTTAGGAGCTGCAGAGGTAAACAGTGTACAAACAGAGCAATGACAGCTCTGATCCAATTACACATAAACATTGATTAGAGAAGCCAGTCAGTGTAACAGGAGCTGGAAAAGCAACTCAAACCTCAACCCTGAATTTTTCATCTTTTTAATAAGGAAAACTGGGATTAGGTTTAAAGTACTCGACAAGTCTAAAAACCTAAACGTGAGCAAGAACAGAGGTTCAATTATTGAGCTCTCATCTGTGAGCTGGGGCAGACAGGACCAATATATGCAAGAGGTCAGGGTCCTGGCTGTGCCCCACTTGCCCCCCATCACAAGCACCCCCTCTGTGACCCAGCGAGGAAATGTCCTGTTCTGCCCCCAGGGCTACACAGCGAATGCAAAAACAGGATGAAAGCAGCACTCAGTCCAACTTGCAAGCTGTATCTGGGATACAGACCCTTGGTCCAGAGAAATGCTTTGAACGTGGGAACGACACAAATTAGTCAAGACATGGTCAAAGAGTCAGATTTACGAGAAGCACAATAACTGGTACAAACTCCACAGGCTTTAACACCAGTTTACATGCAACTTTATTACATCATCAGTCAGTTTAGAGCATGATTAGTGTCCTATGTCTGCCAGTCAACTAGCACGAACAGCTCAATTATCCCAGTATGACATAACAGGACTTATGTAAGGATTTGCTCAGGAATCCAATACTCAGCTTTAGTTTTGTTATATAACAACAATGAAATGTAATGAAACTCATTCAATAGAAAAAAAAAAATCTATAATTTCTTTATCATAGCCAGCATTTTGCTTCTGTTAATACTCCAGACTTCATCCCAGGAAGCTCAACAGTAAAGACAAAAAAAACCCTCTAATACCCTAAAAACTCCTCCCTCTTTGCCCTCATGATGTAATTTTCAGTCATCACATTTTAACCATTCTTAATTTAAAAGTAAAAGAGCTGATCACAAATGAGCTACGACTGATGAATCATATCTGTTATTAACCTCTGTCTCTCTTCCACAGCATGTCTTTATCCTGTCTTCCTTCTCTCACCCCAACCGGTCACAGCAGATGGCCCCGCCCCTCCCTGAGCCTGGTTCTGCCGGAGGTTTCTTCCTGTTAAAAGGGCGTTCCTTCCCACTGTCGCAAAGTGCTTGCTCATAGGGGGTCATATGATTGTTGGGTTTTTCTCTGTATCTATGAAGCGCCTTGAGGCGACTTTTGTTGTGATTTGGCGCTATATAAATAAAATTGAATTGAATTGAATTGAATGACCATTCATGAATAATGAAACCATTGGTCCTAAGTCATTTAGCATTTTTATGCACCGACGCCTGTTTTCAGTGACCAAGGCATTTTGTCTTGAAATACATGTCTTTTCTTTAAAAAACAAAACAAAGACATTTAAACTTATTTTTATTGTTAATGAATAAAAAGAATAACATGTAGCTAGCAGAGCAAACCGTGATTTCTTTTGCTTTGCTCTTGTAGGATTAATTTACCGAGAAACAGGTAAATGGTATTCTGCAATACGTGAATATGGTCAGACGTGCAGTAAATATATATTAAATCCTATCTTAGCACACTTCCATGCTCACCTCTCTCTGATGGACATGTGTCGGGCCATCATCCTGTCGCTCAGTTCGTCTCCCTGCTCAGGTTGCACCGGGCCAGCTGGGTGTGCGTTGCTGTCTGTGTGCGGGTCTGCTGCTTCGGGGAAGCCAGATGCTGCTCTGGATGTTACCACAGTGGATTCCAGCAGGTCTGTGAGTGTGAGCACACGGAAATAGTGAGAGGAGAGAAAATAAATAAATAAATAAAAATCAGTAACTCAGCAGCAACACCATAAACATTAACTGTGACCGCTTGTATGATCTTTTGAGGAAAATACATTAACTAAGAATCGCTGCGTAGGGTGTAAACCCTTTAACATAACAGTCATCAGAGGTGTCACAGTGCAGACTCAGCATCTCAAAGCAGCATCGCAGCAATCATCTTTCATGCTCACCGAAATAATCCCATCCACCTCGTGAGAAGCAGCAAAGACACTTTTCACAGCTTTAAACATCTCTGCCACAGCTGTAATCAAATAACCCACACTGGAGACTCAGGTCAA